ACATTAGAGGAGACCAATTAACACAAAAACACACATTCTGCCCAAATTAATCTGTAAAACTGATATAGTTTCAACTAAAAATCCAAAGAAAATTTTACTTATTCAACCAGCTGATTCTAAAATTTATATGAAAAAAATCAAAGGGCCACTAATAGCCAAAACCATTTTGAAAAATATATATATATATGAAAAATATGACAGGGGAGAGGGGGCTTACCCTACCTAACATGAAGACTTATAATACAGTTTAAATGGTATACTATGACCTCAGAAGTAAATAGAACAGAAGAAAGAACGAAAAACAGGTATGTATTGAGAAAGTTGATATTTCACCATAAGGAAAAGCTGAAATATCAAAAAAAAAAAAAGTTTGTTAGTAACTGGTTATCCAGTTATCTCAAGATAACTAAAAACCTACATATTAAAAGGAAATTTTTATACAGAAGAGCTTAAACAAATTAAAAAAAAAAAAAAAAAACACTTTTTCCCAAATAGCCACAGCAATCCTAAGCAAAAGGAACAAAGCTGGAGGCATCACACTACCCTGCTTCAAACTATTCTACAGGGCTACAGTAACCAAAACAGCACAGTACTGGTACAAAAACAGATACATAGACCAATGAAACAGAATAGAGAGCGCAGAAATAAGCCTGCACATCTACAACCGTCTGAATTTTGACAAAGTTGACAAAAACAAGCAGTGGGGAAAGGACTCCCTATTCGATAAATGGTGCTGGAGTAACTGGCTAGCTATATGCAGGAGATTGAAACTGGACCCTTCCTTACACCATATGCAAAAATCAACTCAAGATGGATTAAAGACCTAAAAGTAAAACTCTAAAAACCCTGGAAGACAACGTAGGCAATATCATTCTGGACATAGAAACAAAGATTTCATGATGAAGATACCAAAGCAATTGCAACAAAAGCAAAAATTGACAAATGGGATCTAATTAAACTTAAGAGCTTCTGCACAGCAAAATAAATTATCATCAAAATGAACGGACAACCTACAGAATGGGAGAAAAAATTTGTAAACTATGCATCCGACAAAGGTCTAACATCCAGCATCTACAAGGAACTTAAACAAATTGACAAGAGAAAAACAAACAACTCCATTAAAAAGTGGGCAAAAGACATAAACACTTCTCAAATGAAGACATTTATGCGGCCAATGACCATATTTAAAAAAGGTCAACATTACTGATCAATAGAGAAATGCAAATCAAAACCACAATGAAATGCCATCTAACACCAGTTAGAATGGCTATTACTAAAAAGTCAAAAAATAATACACGCTGGCAAGGTTGCAGAGAAAAAGGAACACTTACACACTGTTGGTAGGAGTGTAATTTAGTTCAATAATTGTTGAAAGCAGTGTGGCAATTGCTCAAAGACAGAAAAACCATTCAATCCAGCAATTCCATTACTGGGTATATACCCAAAGGAATATAAATACTTCTATCGTAATGACACATTCATGCATATGTTCACTGCAGCACTATTAATAATAGCAAAGACATGGAAACAACCTTAATGCCCATCTATGGTAAACTGGATAAGAAAATGTGGTACGTATATACTATAGAATACTACACAGTTATAAAAATGAATTAGATCATGTACTTTGGAGGAACATGCATGGAGCTGGAGGCCATTATCCTTAGCATACTAATGCAGGAACAGAAAACCAAATACCTCATGTTCTCACTTATAAGTGGGAGCTAAATGCTGAGAACACATGGACATATAGAAGGGAACAACAGACACTGGGGCCTAGTGGAGAGAGGAAAGTGGGAAGAGGGAGAGAATCAGGAAAAATAACCAATCAGTACTAGGTTTAGTACATGAATGACAAAATGATCTGTACGATAAACCCCCATGACATGAGTTTACCTATAACAAACCTGCACATGTACCCCTGAACTTAAAAGTTAAAAAAGAAAAAAGCTCTATAAGATCTCCTAAAATAAACCACAAGAAAGTAATTTATAAAAATTTAAAATTTTTGAAAATTAAGAGTCCCCATTTTCAAAAGTGAAAAGACCAGACATAGACTAAGAAAACTTATCTGAAACTCTTTTATGTAGCAAATGATTAATATCCCAAATATATTTTTTTAAAAACTTTGGTAAGAAAAACAGTCCAAAAGAATAATGGGCAAAAATGGGAAAAAGTACTTGACTTTACTAGTAATGAGGGAAACACTAATGAAAGCTACAGTGAGATTTTTTACACATCCATCCAATAAATAAAAATTTTAAAATCAAGTAATAGTAAACCCATGTGCAGTTTGCTGCAAGTCACTTTGGAGAACAATTTGAGAACATCTGATAAAGTTGAAGATGCACAGATCCTATAACTTGCAGTTCTGCTGCTTGGGCAAATTTTTGCGAATATGCCCAAAGAGTCATATACAAACAAACATTACTTGTAAGAGTAACACATTTGGATACAACATAAACACCCATCAATGACAGAACAGGTATGTAATTTGTGGTATATTTATACTTTGGAAACCACATGGCTACAAAAAGAATAACACAGAACTACATGTACTAAAATAGGAAAACCTCACAGTGGCAGAAGGATAACTAAAGTACTAACATTTATTTGAAGTTTTGAAACTCCACTATATTGTTATGGGATTAATACAAGTGTAGTTAAAATAATGGCATGCATTTGGCATGAAATGATAAGTACCAAATACAGAATAGTGGTTCCTTTGGTTTGAAGAGGAAGGAAGGAGGGAATTTGATTGAGTTTAACGTTTAAGAGAAAGACACCACTGCCCATCTAAATAACCGGGTATCTGGCAAAAAGAAATATCCTTACCCTAAAATGAGTTCTAATTAATTAATGCACTTGGATCCATGGAAGCTCTGGATCAAAAATATAAAAGCCTTCATAATACCAAGAAAGTGCTAGCCAGAGTGATTTCTGTTTTGAAATTATTCTAATGAGATACATAAGTCAAATAACAATATCTCTTTTTCATTCTCGGGCTTAAAACAATACATATTACAATAATGGCATGTGGCACAATTATTTTTCTCAAAAAAAAGTAAACTCAAAATACAAAATAGTTGTTGTCAAGGGTAGTTGTTAGAACATCTTCTTTTAAAGTTTATAAAGAATTTTCTTGAAAAATTTTGATCAAATCAAACTTTAATTTGTTTTTTCCAAATGGTTTTGTTATGAAAAATTATAAACATATAGAAAATTGATAAAATACTACAATAAACTAGATTTTTTCAGTTTCACATTTAAGTTTTCAGTAAAAAAGACTTCAGAAGTATAAATTTTCTTGTCATAAAAAATATACATGCTTACAAAAACAAAAATTGACAAATGGGATCTAATTAATCTAAAGAGCTTCTGCAGAGCAAAAGAAACTATCATCACAGTGAACAGGCAACCTACAGAATGGAAGAAAATTTTTGCAATCTGACAAAGCCCTAATATTCAGAATCTACAAGGAATTTAAACAAATGTACATGAAAAAGACAAACAAGCCCATCAAAAAGTGGGCAAAAGACATGAACAGACACTTCTCAGAAGACATTTATGTTGCCAATAACCATATGAAAAAAAACTCAACATCACTGATCATCAGAGAAATGCAAATCAAAACCCCAATGAGATACCATCCCACTCCAGTCAGAATGGCAATTATTAAAAAGTCAGGAAACAACAGATGCTTGTGAGGCTGTGGAGAAATAGGAACACTTTTACACCGTTGGTGGGAATGTAAATTAGTTCAACCATTGTGGAAGACAACGTGACGATTCCTCAAAGATCTAGAACCAGAAATACCAGAAATATCATTGGGCCGGGCGCGGTGGCTCAAGCCTGTAATCCCAGCACTTTGGGAGGCCGAGGCGGGTGGATCACGAGGTCAGGAGATCGAGACCATCCTGGCTAACATGGTGAAACCCCGTCTCTACTAAAAATACAAAAAACTAGCCGGGCGTGGTGGCGGGCGCCTGTAGTCCCAGCTACTTGGAGGCTGAGGCAGGAGAATGGCGTAAACCCGGGAGGCGGAGCTTGCAGTGAGCCGAGATTGCGCCACTGCACTCCAGCCTGGGTGACACAGCGAGACTCCGTCTCAAAAAAAAAAAAAAAAAAGGAAATATCATTTGACCCAGCAATTTCATTACTGGGCATATATCCAAAGAAATATAAATAACTCCATTATAAAGATACATGCACACGTATGTTCATTGCAGCACTATTTGCAATACCAAAGACATGGAATCAGCCCAAACGCCCATTAATGATAGACTGGATAAAGAAAATGTGGTACATATACACTACAGAATACTATGCAGCCATAAAAAGGAATGAAATCATGTCTTTTGCAGCAACATGGATGGAGCTGGAAGTCATCATTCTCAGTAAACTAACACAGGAACAGAAAAACAAACACCCCATGTTCTCACTTATAAATGGGGAGCTGAATAATAAGAACGCATGGACACAGGGAGGTGAACAACATACACTGAGGCCTGTCAGCGGGGAAGGAGAGCATCAGGATAAATAGCTAACGCATGCAAGGCTTATTTCCTAGGTGATGGGTTGATAGGTGCAGCAAACCACCACGTCACATGATTACCTAAGTAACTAACCTGCACACCCTGCACGTGTACCCCATAACTTAAAATTAAAATTTAAAAATCCCCCCAAAATGCACATGCTTAAATTAATAAGCACACATAAATTTGGCTTAATGAATTAAAAATTACTACATTTTTTAAAAAATCATAGACAAGGGGCTGGGCCCAGTGGCTCACATCTGTAATCCCAGCACTTTGGGAGGCCAAGGCAGGTGGATTACCTGAGGTCGGAAGTTCGAGACCAGCCTGACCAACATGGTGAAACCCCATCCCTACTAAAACTACAAAATTAGTCGGGCGTGGTGGCGCATACCTGTAATCCCAGCTACTCGGGAGGCTGAGGCAGAAGAATCGCTTGAACCTGGGAGGCGGAGGTTACAGTGAGCCAAGATCATGCCATTGCACTCCAGCCTGGGAAATAAGAGGAAAACTCTGTCTCAAAAAAAAAAAAATTCATAGACAATAACACACTCAAAGGGGTAAAGCTTGACATGGTAGCAAGAAACAGAGATTTTGCCAATTGCCAAGTATGTCTATTCTAACTCTACATTCAGGAACCAGGGAAGAAATCACCAGCTAACTGCTACCTCTATCTAAGCCTCTATCTATCACTTGGCCACCATAAGCTCCCATTTGACTGGTACAGTACAGAGAGTTTGGAGTGCCCAGGAATAGCATCAGTTCATATTAAGTATCTAGGAATACCTGAAAAGTCTGGGTATTTCCTTTTTCCCAGCGCACAGTCATGGTCTAGGTATCTCCTTTTTCCCAGTGCACAGTCATGCTAGTAAGTCACCCTTTGGGAAAGAATCAGGGGAAATTTTACATTATATATTTGGTTCTGCTGTAGCATCCTTCTTCAAAAGAACCCGGCTTCCCCTTCAATAAAGGGGTTCTAACTCTGTGAACTGGTTTAGGTCTAAAAACTAGGTAGAAATCCATCATTCGTTCTCACTCATAGGTGGGAACTGAACAATGAGATCACTTGGACTCGGGAAGGGGAACATCACATACCGGGGCCTATCATGGGGAGGGGGGAGGGGGAAGAGGGGAGGGATGGCATTGGGAGTTATACCTGATGTAAATGACGAGTTGATGGGTGCAGCACACCAACATGGCACAAGTATACATATGTAACAAACCTGCACGTTATGCACATGTACCCTACAACTTAAAGTATAATAAAAAAAAAAAAAAAAAAAAAAAGAAATCCATCATTCTCCACTAGGTGGCTCAAGTCAGGTTTTTAACCACCAGACCTGCAGTTTCTGTTTTATAAATTAAGCAACGTTTCAGTAGGCTGCTCATCGTTTTCATTTCTGGTAACGACATGAATTAGTCACTACCAAAAATTCCTGCAGGTCAAAATAGTCTGATTATCTTTTCAGTAATCAGAATCTGCTGGCCTTTATAACAAATATGGCTGCTTTGTCTTTGGCAGTTAAGTATTGTCCATTGGCTTCTGCTCTTTCAGGGCAAACGATTCTAACAAATCATTCCTGTTCGAAGACTTTAGAATCCTAAACTTTTAGATTCCTTTCTGTACATCTGAAGTCAACAAACATTTTCTGTAAAGGACCAGATTGTAAATATTTTAGACTTTGTAAGTCAACAGTCGAAACAGAAGAGATTCTGTTGCAGAGGGATTAGAATTGCTATATGTGGAAAACACAGAACCATCCCTACTGGAATCAGGCAACCCATCACAATGGTGGTATTTGCCACCATCATATATGGCTTACATATGAGAGTCACCACGGTGCTCCTCAGAATGTGGGTGTTCCCCTCGCTAATGTGTTTCTCACTGCTTTCAAGGGAGTATCTTCTGGGTCTCCTCAGACAATGTAGTTGAGGGTAGAGGGACACAGTACCCATGTAACAAATCATTCCTGTTCGAAGTCTTTAGAGTCCTAAACTTTTAGATTCTTTTCTGTACATCTGAAGTCAACAAACATTTACTGTAAAGGACCAGATTGTTAATATTTTAGGCTTTGTGAGTCAACAGTCCAAACAGAAGAGATTCTGGCACAGAGGGATTAGAATTGCTATATCTGGAAAAGACAGAACAATGTCAATGCTCAACTTCCAAAACTGCAACCCAAAATGAGAGACTTTATAATTTCCAAAATCTCTTTCTTTCAAATAAAAAGTAAACCCTTGGGATCTGAAAATAGGGCTTTATTAAAAGCCATAGTGTAAAGAATACTTGAGATATAATATCAAGGAAGTCCCATTAGAGATATTAGAGTCTGCTAAGGGAAAGGATTGGAGGAGGGAAGTGGGATGGTGCTGATGAAGATGCAACACCCCTCCCAACCCCTGGACTTCAGTCAAAGGGAAAAGAGATTCCCAAATGGGTGGAGAAGGAATCCAAAATTATCTGGCAGGCTGCTCTGTCCTTCTCAGTGTAGCATGGCTGAGAGGTATTAGTCCATGATCAGAGAGCACTGAGTATTTAAGAGTAGCCTGACATAGCACCAATTCTCCACAGCTAACTTATGGTTCCCAAGGGCTCAGAGACGTGGGATTTGTAGGGGTGCTGAGAAGGATGCTGGACAACTAGGGATCTGCAGTCAAGACAGGAGATAGGGGCAGGCACATCACAACAATGACAAATGGTAGGAACCATGGACTGAAGCAGAGGGCACTTACATGTGAGTGTTACAAGCACAGCTCTGCAAGTCTAGACCAGACCCATCAACTTCACTTCAGTGGAGACTAGCATGAGACCAAAAAAAGGCAAAAAAAAAAAAAAAAAAGAGAGGCCACCAAGAGTAACTGTAAGCCACACACACACACACACATGCACACGCCTAGACAGTCTCTAGAAATGGAGGAAAGGGCAGAGAGGTGTTGGGTTCGAGCCCAAACTGAGGTTCAAGGGGGAGTTGGTGGATGAGTGGTAGGTAGTTGAAAGAACACTCAGGGGGCTGTAGTCAGGTGAAATATGGCTTTATTCTCTCTCTGGGCACAAGCCTTCGTCTCTGCTGCCTGCTCCCGCCACAGCCCTTCTCAGCAGCCAGCTCTAGTGGCTCCTACTGCCCCAACACCTGCAGCTGCACTCCCTGGAGCACTCGCCGTTTCCTGGCTCCCCACTGTCCGCCTGTAGGGTGGTCAGCTCTGGCTCTTACAGAGTCAGCAGCTTTACTCTCTCTCTCCTGCCCTGTGCGAGCCAGCGGCAGCAGGGCAGTTACACTCCTTCAGACAATAGTGGCTAAGAGCCAAGTATGAGCTTAACAAGAGGTTACATAATGCATAGGATTGTGAACCTGTGCTCCAAACCCACTGAGTCATGCTAGACTGGATGTTTACCTCGGCCTATTCTTGACCACAGCACATCCATTTTCCTTACAAGAGGCCTTTGATAGAAGAGAGAAACAGCCTTTCAGGAAGGTTGAACTTTGAATTAACTGTTTCCCCCAAAGAAGCCATTCTAGACTGAAGAGACCAAATAACCTTCAATAAGGCAAGATTAAGCATAGCAATCCTCCACTCACCCCAGATGCACTATTTACAGGACTCCAAAGATCATTCCTCAAAACAAAAGAATACTACTTGTTTTGGCCCATTTTGTTTGTTAGGTGTGACTTTTAATACAATGGCCCACTAGGGTCAGGTGCTGCTTAAAGTGATGGGAATTAATGTTTTGACAAAGTCAAAGACTGTCCCCAGATGTGGGTTTTTAACCATCTTTTAACAAATATTCCCACCAGTCAAGGAGAATTTGTTGAATTTTTGCTATAGTTTCAACGCATTAAAAAGCTGGAAGTTTTTGTTTTCTATTTTCAGTCTCTTCTCTGACTTTACCTTTTGTTAAGATCTCACCCTTCTTTAAAACAGCAACCTTCACTAGACTATTTTTCCCTTCTATTAAGCATGTTCTTTCTTTCCCATCTTCTTGGTTAAAGATTTTTAATGAACTCCCCATCAGGCATATTTTCATCATTAATTCTGTTTATAATCCCTTGTATTTTACATTCTATTCCCACAGTTCTTGACTGCCTTATCATAGGTGGTTCCCACACTTAACTCTCTCCTTTGAATCCACCTTTTACACCATGTGTATAGTAGACACCCTGATAACAATGACAAAAGCATACCCTGAGAATGCTCCAGTGTGGCAGATGCGCCTGCATGCGTGCTCTGAGCTAGGGAATCCGGGAGTGGCCAATCCAGAGAGTCATTCCTTGTCTATTAGGAACATCTGAGCCTTCGGACCATCCCATGGGAACATGGGCCACACATGGGCTCCAGGTCCTGAGTTTTGGATGATGAAGGTTGCCAGGTGCAGGTCATTAAGGGGATGGTGTTAAGTAACAATACTATATAAACTACATGCTGTTTGCAAGCAGTTATGGTTTTCCTGGCCAGCTCACTGCCACAGGGCCGTGCAGATATCTTGTCCAGCCCACCACCACTGGACTCTCTCTCCCCTGTATATAAGTGCCCAGTACAACCCCATGTCTCGTTTGCTGGCTCTGGGTCTCTTTTCGGCTTCTTGAATCAAAAGGTACCCAGAGGGTTTACCCTACATCTGTTTAGAGAAAAAATTCCAAGGTCTTCTTCAATTGTTCCCACCTAAACCATTTAACTGTTTTACAAGGACTAGTATTTCTCAACCCTTGATTGCACATTAAAGACTCCTGGGAAGCTTGAAAAATTAATATAGAGTCCTGAGTTCTACAACAGGGCAAGTAAATCAGTATCTCTCAGAGTGAGGCTCAGCTATCAATAGCTTTTAAAAGCTCTCCAAGCTATTCTCATGTGCAGTCAAGGCTGAGAATCATTTATCTAGAACTAGATCAAGTCAAAGTTGGGATAGATGGTCCTAGGCATATGGTAATGATGCATCACAATCACCTGGGGGATCTTGTTACTATTCCTGGATTTCAGACCAATTGAATTAAAATCTCTAGTGATGGGTGCCGAAGCCTCTTTTTAACAAGCTCTTCAGACATTCTTATTTAGCCAAAATGGTCCCGGTGTGGTGACGGGTATTTGGGAAACCAATCACCTGCCAATGTTTCTCACGCTTTAACAAAGATAAGAACCACCTGAGAAATCTTGTTGACGTGGAGGTTTTAATTCAGTAGGACTATGGTGGAACCTGAGATTCACCATTTCTTTTGGAGGGGAGGCAGGTGGTGGATGGAGTCTTGCTCTGTCGCCCTGGCTGAAGTGTAGTGGCGTGATCTCAGCTCACCACAACCTTGCCCTCCTGGGTTCAAATGATTCTCCTGCCTCAGCCTCCCGAGTAGCTGGGATTACAGGCATGCACCACCAAGCCCAGCTAATTTTTGTATTTTTAGTAGAGATGGGGTTTCATGATGTTGGCCAGGTTGGTCTTGAATTCCTGACCTCAAGTGATCCGCCCACCTCAGCCTCCCAAAGTGCTTGTATTACAGGCGTCCAGCCACTGTGCCCTGCCGTACTATTTCTAATAAGCTCCCAGGTGATGGCTATGCTGCTAGTCTATGGATCACACTTTTGAGTGGTCAGCACTCAAACTACATAAACCCCATTTTCCCGATAGGTACAAAAAGCATCATTTGAAGCTTCACTCCGGTGGTTGTGACTTCCTTTTTTTTTTTTTTTTTTTTTTTTTTTTTGGGATGGAGGCTCGCTCTGTCGCCCAAGCTGGAGTGCAGTGGCACGATCTCGGCTCACTGCAAGCTTCGCCTCCTGGGTTCATGCTATTCTCCCACCTCAGCCTCCAGAGTAGCTGAGACTACAGGTACCCGCCACCGCGCCCAGCTAATTTTTTGTATTTTTAGTAGAGACAGGGTTTCACCATGTTAGCCAGGATGGTCTCGATCTCCTGACCTCGTGAGCCGCCTGCCTCGGCCTCCCAAAGTGCTGGGATTACAGGCTTGAGCCACCACGCCCGGCCGTGACTTTCTAAATGCCCTCTCCTTTCTTAGTGACCATACACCCAGCAATACTCCCCTTACTCCAGCCACACCTCAGGTTCTGCCCGCTAAACCTCTCCTCTAAATTGCTAGAACATTTAGTGTCCATTCTAATTTTTCATGCTAAATAGCATACTTGCCAGTTATTTTTAAATTTTACGTTTTTCTTGGATCCCTAGTTTTCTTCAGTGTCTATGCTGAGGATGTAGTAGGTATTTTTAAAATACTGGCTAGTTGAACATTTGAATAGTTATAAAGTAATTGTTCCCATTGTTACCTATTGGTTGAGAAAATACACATTGAAAAATTACTATCAATTTATTCATGTTTTTATACAAACATATTGTACTTCACAAAACAGCATGTATGCACCTTAAAATAGCATTACTTTACCATTACTTTTAATGCAAAAACCACAGTTACTTTCCACCAACCTATTATTACAAAAGTGTAAGTTATCATGGATTTGGACTGTTGACAAATAACTCAGAAACCTTTAGTGAGTATTCACAAAAAAGGTTACTCACAGAAAAGAGAGTCAGTCACTAAACAGTTGTCAACAAATATAACAAAAACAAAATTTATAAAAGAAAGAGACAGGGTAGAAAAAAAACACACATAGACTATCTGAGAGCAGTGTATTTTGTTGTACTTTTCTTTGAGTAAGCTGATTGGCTGGAAGCCATCAAAAAGACAAGTGTGGGCAGTCTTCCCTGGAGCAGGCTGACCAGCCATTAGTAACAACTATTGTAGCGAATTCTAGATTCTCTGAGAAAGTAAGCTGAGCAGCATTCATGATAAGCTGCCTCTGTTTGATGCCTGCCAGGTACTTCTGTTAACATTTCCACTTTAGTTGGGCTAAACTTACACCATATGCACCTTCAGATCTTCTCAATTCTATCAGCGATTCTTGGTCTTCCTTTTAATTTGTAATAAGAATTTTGTGGCTCATCACGTCTTCCTACCTCAGATTGAGAATCCCCATTCTAAGGCACCATCCTCATCATATTCTCATGTGCATGTCCAGTAGTTATCAAGTGACTCATGGACTTGGCATTCTGCTACTCATGTCACTCCAGGATTGACTCTGAGAAAACAGCAGAGTAATTTTTCCGGTGTAAAACAATGGCAATATAACAGAAAAGGGGTCCTCACATGTTTTTGTGGCAATCCAGTTGCTACCAAATATTAGTGAAGATATGCCATTATATCATTAGCCACACCCCATTTTAGACATATCATTGCCTAAGCCACTATGGTGACTTCTATAATTCTGATTGTTTCAGATTGATGACTTTGTAATCAATGTTAGGCTGAGCTTAAAATTTCAAGTTTTGATATTGTCTTCATCTGAACATGTGAGTTACTAAAAATTAATCAAAATAAATATATTATTTCAAGTTTTGATATTGTCTTCATTTGAACATGTGAGTTATTGAAAATTAATCAAAATAAATATATTATCGAAAGGTGTAAGTGTTGAAAGACAATGTTGCATGGATCTCTTGTGTTTCTGCACCTCTTACGAACCACAAAGAGGTAATGAAGTACAAAGAGGTAAGAAATATGACTCCACTTCTTTTTACTGGTGTCTACCTTTTAGTTCAATACATCTAGGTGTAGACAATAGCATGCTAAGAAAAATTAAACAATAAAAAAATCATGAGAGAATTATTTTTCAGAAAATGTGTCACTTAAAATATATAGTATAATGGGGCAGCATTTCAATATAATATTAAACATTTTAAATAAGTAATTTTTGAATATATTGTAATCTAATTCCATTTAAGATTTAGTTTTAATTTTGTATAAATTAAAAGTCATGTATAAACATGACTATCTCAGACTCCTTTAAATAGAATTGCCTTAAATATGTTGCTTATTCAACCCAAATTTCTAAGATATATGCTCTGACATAATAAAAGCCAAAAATACTGTAATAGGAAACCTTAAGTATAAGAAAAACACCATAATTTCTTGCTTATGTAAATCAGCTCATCTGTATTTTCTAGGCTGATCACCCTAAAAAGTGCTCATAAACAGGAACATTCAGCCATAAAACTAGGGAGAACTTACCATCCAATAAAAATAGTGATTCTTATCAGGTACTTATTATGTCATAGGTAATATAACTTCTTATATATATGAATTGATTTAAGCCTGATGGTAAACTTTGAGGTAGAAATTAACATCCCTGTTTTTATGGATGATGAAGCTAAGGAATAGAAAATGTATAGGATTTGACCATGATCACAATTAGTAAGTAGTATAGCCAGGAACTGAACTCAAATCTGGCACCAAAAATCTATGTACTGAAACACTATACACTAAACCACTATGTGACACACCTGCAGTTGCATTGCTTTCAAACTTGCCTCATGATTCAGTCCTTTCTATACACTGATATTTGGTAAAGTGCCCATAGTGCCTTTTGTTAAATACCATAGACAAACACAGTGAAACAGGGTCCCAGCCTCCAGTAAACTTTCCCCCAATTATCTCATTAAATTGCTATTTATTTAATCTGTGTTCTTACCTTAAATTTATAATAATCTGATAGCTGTGTATGTAAAACTGGCAAAAAAAAAAAAAAAAAAAAAAAAAGGCCGGTATCATCCCTACCAGCATGAAATCTTAGAATGCAGGGCCTAGGACAAAATAAAATTATACATTGAATCACATTTATTAATCTCACTCATAGATACATATATATACACCCCACCACCCCACCCACTCCTGTCCCACGAACAGACTCCTTCTTAAACTATTCAGAATTGCCACCTCTGATCATAGTGAGGCGGAAAACAAATTCAATGGTAGATTCAAAGGCATGTGCCTGAAGAAGTTCCATCTTCATGACTGTTTATAAGAAGTTCAAGAGAAATACTTTCTACTTACCTAATTTTCTTCTGTACATCTTTTTTGTTTTGTTTTTTGTTTCAATGATTTTATTAACATGCCTAATAATCCTAGCACACAACATGTATTCAGCCAATGTTAATCAGTTCCCTAGGCTGCAACCTGATGATTTAATGGGTCTTTTGATTTTTTTAAAAAAAATTTTTGGTGTTTTTATTTATTTATTTATTTTTAACTTTTATTTTAGGCTCAGAGGTACATGTGCAGTTTTGTTACATAGGTAAACTTGTGTCATGGGTGTTTGTCGTACAGATTATTTTGTCACCCAGCTACTAAGCCTAGTACCCAATAGTTATTTTTTCTGCTCCTCTCCCTTCTCTCACCCTCCACCCTCAAGTAGGACCCAATGTTTGTTGTTCCTTTCTTTGTATTCATGAGTTCTCCTTATTTGGTTCCCACTTACAAGTGAGAACATGAAGTATTTGGTTTTCTGTTCCTGCATTAGTTTGCTAAGAATAATGGCCTCCAGCTCCATCCATGTTCCTGCAAAAGACATGATCTCATTGTTTTTTATGGCTGCATAGTATTCTATGGTGTATACGGACCACATTTTCTTTATCCAATCTGTCATAGATGGGCATTTAGGTTGATTCCATGTCTTTCCTATTGTGAATAGTGCTACAATGAATATTCACATGAATGTGTCTTATAGTAGAATGATTTATATTCTTTTGGGTATATACCAATAATGAGATTGCTGGATCAAATGGTAGTTCTGTCTTTAGGTCTTTGAGGAATTGCCATACTGCTTTCAACAATGGTTGAACTAATTTAACCACCAACAGTGTATAAGTTTTCCCTTTTCTTTGCAACTTCTCCAGCATCTGTTATTTTTTGACTTTTTAATAATAGCCATTCTGACTTATATTAGATGGTATCTCATTGTGGTTTTGATTTGCATTTCCCTAATGATAACTGATGTTGAGCTTTTTTTCATATACTTGTTGATCACATGCATGTCTTCTTCTGAGAAGTGTTTGTTCATGTTTTTTACCCAGTTTTTAATGGAGTTGTTTTTCTCTTGTAATTTGTTTAAGTTTCTCATAGATGTTGGATATTAGACCTTTGTCAGATGCATAGTTTGCAAAAATGTTCTCCCATTTTGTAGGTTTTCCATATACTCTGTTGAAAATTTCTCTTGCTGTGCAGAAGCTAGTTTAATTAGATCCCATTTGTCAATTTTTGCTTTTGTTGCAATTGTTTTTGGCATCTTTCTTATGAAATCTGTGCCCATTCCTATGTTCAGGATGGTATTGCCTAGGTTGTCTTCCAGGGTTTTCATACTTTTTGGTTTTATATTTAAGTCTTTAATTCAGACCAAAAAAAAAAAACATTCAGAAGATAAATGAATACAGAAGTTGGATTTTTGAAAAGATTAGTAAAGAAGAAAAGAGAAGCTCCAAATAAACACAATTAGAAATGACAAAGGGGATATTACCACTGACCCCATCAGAAATAAAAATAAACACCAAAAACTACTACAAACACCTCTACACACAAAAATTAGAAAACCTAGGAGAGATGGATATATTCCTGGACACATACACCCTCCAAAGACTGAACCAGGGAGAAACTGATTCCCTGAACAGATCAATAACGAGTTCAAAATTGAATCAGTAATAAATAGCCTACCACCAACAACAACAACAGAAAAAAGGCCATACCAGATGGATTCACTGCCGAATTCTACCAGATGTGCAAAAAAGAACTCGTACCATTCCTACTAAAACTTTTCCAAAAATTGAGGAGGAAGGACTCCTCCCCAACTCATTGGGAGGCCAGCATCATACTGATACCAAAATCTGAAAAAGACACAACAAAAAACGAAAATTTCAGGCCAATATCATTAATGAACATTGATATAAAAAATCATCAATAAAATACTTGCCAGCTGAATCCAGCAGCACATCAAAAAGTTAATACACCATGAGCAAGCAGGCTTCTTCCCCAAGATGCAAGTTTGGTTCAACATACGCAAATCAATAAATGTAATTCATCACATAAAGAGACCTGAAGACAAAAACCAAATGATTATCTCAATAGATGCAGAAAAGGCTTTCAATAGAATTCAACATCCATTCATGTTAAAAACTTTCAATAAATTAGGTATAGAAGGAACACACCTCAAAATAATAGGAGCCATCTATGACAGAACCACAGCCAACATCATATTGAATGGGCAAAAAGCTGGAAACATTCCCCTCGAAAACTGGCACAAGACAAGGATGCTCTCTCACCACTCCTATTCAACATAGTATTGGAAGTCTTGGCCAGCGCAATCTGGCAAGAGAAAGAACTAAAGGGTATCCAAATAGGAAGACAGAAAGTCAAACTATGCCTGTTTGCAGACAATATGATTTGATATCAAGAAAACCGCACAGTCTTGGCCAAAAGCTCCTGGAGCTGATAATCAATGTCAGCAAAGTTTCAGGATACAAAATCAATGTACAAAAATCACTAACATTCCTATACATCACCAACAGCCAAGATGAGAGTCAAATCAATTCGCATTCACGATTGCCATAAAAAGAATAAAATACTCAGGAATACAGCTAACCAGGGAGGTGACAGATTTCTACAATAAGAATTACAAATCACTGCTCAAACAAATCAGATATGACACAAACAAATGGAAAAACATTCCATGTTCATGTATAAGAAGAATTAATATCATTAAAATGGCCATTCTGCTCAAATGATTCAATGCTACTTATATCAAAGTACTGATGACATTCCTCACAGAACTAGACAAAGACTATCTCAAAATTCATATGGAACCAAAAAGGAGCCGGAATACCCAAGACAATCCTAAACAAAAAGAAGAAAGCCAAAGACATCACGCTACCTGACTTCAAATGATGCTACAGGGCTACATTAATCAAAACAGTATGGTACTGGTACAAACACAGACACATAGACCAATGGAACAGAATAGAGAGCTCATAAATATGGCCACACACCTGCAACCATCTGATCTTTGACAAAGCTGACAAAAAAAAGCAATGGGGAAAGGACTCCCTATTCAATAAATGGTGCTGGGATAACTGGCTAGCCACATGCAGAAGACTGAAACTGGACCCCTTCCTTACAACATATACAAAAATCAATTTTTCTGTACATCTCTGACTGCCCATTTTATCAAATAATCTCAGTTCAACCCAGGAATTCTATACTCCTTCCTAACAAAATAATCAAATAGGAATAGATAGAAACTTTCTTAATATATCACAGCCCCAAAGCCAGGAGCATATAATAAGAAAATACCAGAAGTACCCCTTTTAAAGGCAAGTATGAGAAAAGGAAAACTGCTATCACAACTACTATTTCAGATTGTATACTAGGTATTAGTTGTAATGCCATTAAGAAAGAGAAAATATGGCTGGGCACAGTGGTTCACACCTGTAATCCCAGCACTTTGGGAGGCCAAGGCGGGGGCAGATCATGAGGTCAGGAGTTCGAGACCAGCCTGACCAACATGGCAAAACCCTGTCTCTACTAAAAATACAAAAATTAGCCAGGCATGGTGGTGGCCGCCTGTAATCCCAGCTACTTGGGAGGCTGAGGCAGCAGAATCACTTGAATCTGGGAGGTGGAGGTTGCAGTGAGCTGATATCACGCCATTGCACTCCAGCCTGGGTGACAAGAGCAAGGCTCTGTCTCAAAAAAGAAAAAAGAAAAAAAAGAAAGAGAAACTATTTAGGGTATGTGAATTGAAAAATGTCCTAATTGCTTTCTATTGCTTAATAACATAAAAATCATATCATATGATGTATACCTGCATGTGCCAAAAATTTAATGGGAAAAACAACTACAAATAAGATTTCAGGTATATTATTAAGGTAGCAGAATATAAAATTAATATACAGAAATCCGTAGAATTTATCAAAACAACCACCAGTTAAATGATACAATGGAAACGAGGATATTGTTTACTATAACAGCAAAAAATATAAAATGCTAAAGATACACTTAATAAAAAGTTGATCTCATACATGTAGAGATTAGTGGTTAACCAGAGGCTGTGAAGAGGAGGGAGAGGGGGAATGGCGAGGGTTGGTCAACAAGTAGAAAATTATAGTTAAATAAGAGGATTACGTTCTAGTGTTTCATTGCACAGTATGGTAATTATAGTAAACAATAGTATATTGTATATTTCATAATAGCTAAAGAGAGAATTTTACACATTGTCACCACAAAGAAAAGATGAATGTCTGAGATGATGGATATGCTAATTACCCTCACTTTGGTTTCTTTTTTTTTTTTTTTTTTTTTTTTAGTCAGAGTCTCACTCTGTCACCTAGACTGGAGTGCAGCAGTGTGATCTCGGCTCACTGCAACCTCCACCTCCTGGGTTCAAGCGATTCTCATGCCTCAGCTTCCTGAGTAGCTGGGACTACAGGCACATGCCACCATGCCTGGAAATTATTTTTGTATTTTTAGTAGAAACAGGGTTTCACCATGTTGGCCAGGCTGGTCTTAAAATCCTAACCTCAGGTGATCGACCTGCCTCAGCCTCCCAAAGTGCTGAGATTACAGGCGCAAGTCACCGCACCCAGTTCTAATTACCCTAATTTGATCATTACCCGTTGTATACATGTATTGAAACATCACACTGTACCCATAAATATGTACATTACATGTCAATTACAAATAAGATAAAACTTTTTAAAAAAGGAAATGTAAAATCCTCCATGAGAAAAAGATCATTAAAACTCTTCTTAAAAAAAAACAAACAAACAAATATAGACTTTAACAAATTTCTGGAGCTATTTCATGAAGAAGCAGACTCAGTATCATAAAGATGTCAGTTCTTTTTGTGTTAATTCACAGATTTAATGTGATTTTATTTAAATAATCAACAACTTTTGTCCTAGTGCTAATAAAATTGATTCTAAACTCCATATGGAAAAATAGGGAAGTCAAAATAGGACAGGAAACCCCTAAAATATAGAAATGGGTAGGGGGAATATGGGAGGAAGCAGCACTACCTCTACCAGATATTAAAACATTATCAAGTCTCAAAAATTAAAGTAATATGGCACTGGCATATGAGTAGTCAGACAGACCGTGAAACAAAATTGAATGTCCAGAAATAGAAAAAGTACACATGGAAACATAACATAAAAGCAGCATTTTGAATCAAAATAAAATATAGTCAGTGAGTTCTGCTAAAATGGCAAATAAC